TTCCCATTTAAGATTACCACATACATTCCAAAGTCTTCCACTACCCGAAATCGCCTTACATGCATCAAATAGTAGAATACCCGCGGAATGTATGGTGCTTATCACAGTCCTATTTATTAATGTCCTCTGGGAGTTACTATTCCGAATTACCAACCAAATTGTACGGGGTTGGAAATGGGGATCAAAACATTTAGACTCTCCTGATATTGGCTTGCACACACTATAATCAATATCCAAATATCTACATTTAGATACAGATCCCTTACATTCATACTGTGAGTGCCAGATGAGATTTTGGGATATTTGGTTACCTGTTTTAGTAGTCTTAATGCAACTATCGCAATTCGGTATGTCTGTACTCCTACCTTCCTGAAAAATCATAAAAATACTAAGACACAATAAAACACATTATTCCTGAAATCCTAATTTTTCTTCGACCGTGCGATGGCCTCTCAGCTTCCCGATTATGAGGGCTGCAAGGATGTTGTTCTTCTGATCCTCACTTTCCTTCACAGAGATCCCTTCAAGATACTCTGGCTATGACACGTAGGCAGGTGGTCAGGCTTTATTATGGCCGTCAAAACACCTACTTGATGATCTTTGTAGACTTTTAACTAGAATGTCTCGCTATCCCCTCGTCACTCTGACTGAGTTGCACGCTTCAACCGGGTCCTGCAAGGATTCTCAGGATCTGGAGTAGCTTGCCAAGAGTCTGCTGCTGGTTTAACCTTAGAATGATGAATCCAAGGAGTCACTTCCGCCACCTTTACAGCTATTGGGGTAGATAAAAGAACAACATACAAAGGCTAACAGGATACACCCCGAGCTTTAACTCAATATGTATTGGTGGGATATTATGAGCAAGTCCTGGAGGATTATTTTCTTCCCATACTCCTGGAATGTCAAGTAAGGATTCATCACTCTTAGGGTTAACACTTGTCACTATGGAATAGAAGCGTCATTCTTCTTCCCTTGGCACCGATATCACCATTATGCCTGGTAATTCCTTAAACTTCAGAGATGTTAATCCATTAGGTAAAAGGTTATCTGAGCTTAAAGCTTCGATAATAGATCTCGTCCTAAAAGTTGAATCGGACACTCTGGCATATATAGGAACTAATGCTTCACCACATGGCCTCCCAGAATACAAGTGCGACTCTTAAGAACCGGTCTAGCTGCACTTCTCCCAGTAGCTCCTATCACAGTTATAGTCTTCCCGAAGGCGGAGCCACCATCTTAGTCACCACAGAATGTTCAGCACCTGTGTCGATCATGAAAGAACTTCTCTTTCCCCCTATTGCTACATCGACCATAGGCTACGCTCGACCAAGTGGGATGGAGCCCGGTCGGTATCAATAGTCTTCCATGATAGTGTCAGCCAGACCCACAAAATCTCTATCCTCTCTTTCTCTAGGTCTCTACGTGGGTAGATAGTATCTGTCTCCTTGAACACTTCCTCTACTATTCCCATCATTCCCTCTAAAACTTCCTCTTACTCTATAACTACCACTATAACCTCCTCGTACCCTTCTCTCTCCTTGTCTATCACCTTCATACTGCTCTCTCTGTGGACACTCACTCTTCCAATGTCCCTCCTTTCTACAATACGCACATTAATTCCTACTTAAAGTCCCTTGCTCAGCCTATTCTCGTCTCCTCTATTCACTTCCCTGTCTTTCTACACTTAAGATAGCTACTGCTAGCATATCTGCCTTTTTCCTCATTTTACGTTCTTCCTCCATCTCCCTATTCATATATACTGTATTTGCAATCTCCATTAGCTGTATTATGGACATCCCTACAAATCCCTCTAATTTCTGTAATTTCCTTTTAATATCACCTTGGGCCTGGCTGACAAATGCTGAGTCTATCATTCGGAAGTTTTCAGGGGCTTTAGGATTGAAAGGAGTGTACAATCTATTTGACTCAAGCAGTATCTAATATGGGACTTCGACAAGGCTGCTCAATAATAGGTTCCAGTCTAGGAGTAGTAAGATAGGTGTAAGGGGGTGAGCTAATTTTATTAGTCGGCATTTGGTGGATGAAAAAACGTTTTTGTTTAAAGTGTTAAACCAAAAACCTACCAGTAGGTATCACCAGAGGGTAATTGTATCAAAATAATCTTTATGGGTCTAATAAGAAAACTCAACTTTTAATATATTTATACATAAAATAAAACCTTATAGCAATAAATATATTAAAATAGGGTAAGCAATCCTACTTCTATCTGTTATAAACAATGTATTATCAATGTAACTCCCAAAGATGGCCCGTAGGTGGCTTAGAGTGCCTCCCTAAAGTCAAATGAAACAAATAGACTTTAATTAATTATGTCCTATTTTATTATTACTTATTTTAATCAATGTCCACCCTGATATCTAGGCTTGATTAAATCTTTAGTTCTAAGGTAAATTAAACATTTCAGTTTGTAGTTTAGTAAAAGGGGACATTTTGGACAAAGCTGGGAGGGGCCCATCCAGTAACTAAAAAAAAAACAATATACCATCTGATACCATTGATCATTGATTAGGGGGAGGGGTAGTACAGAAATACGAGAGTTTGAAACACAGGAACAGATAGGTATGTGGGTAGGCGGGGACAGCAGAGCAGGGGGAGTGCAAATACTGACTATATACCAGTTTTTAGCTTGGGAAGAAGAATAGGGGCGTGGCTACTCTAGCTCTGGAGGATGTTTGGGGGGTTGGTAATCAGATGCCAGGGGGGAGGGGATGTCCAAAGCAGTTGTAATTAAGTCCTTAGTTCTGACCACCATATGGCTACATTGTTTCCCATATGACACAGTTTAATTCACCAAGGCAGTTTTTCAACAATCAGTTTCCAACAGTCAATATATAGAAACTGATCATAGAATTCCAGCCTACTAGTTACAGCCACATGTACACCCTGCACTAAATTTAAGTGAAGACTGCTACATGGAGGCCATGCGGCCACCAGGACAGGCTACTCCCTACTTTTATTTTTTTTTTATTTTTTTGAAAACATACAAGACAAAAGACTAACAGCCTAGTGAATCAGAAGATTATTTCAACAGAACGTCTGATTCAAAAAGCTGTACAAATATACACACAGTTTCAACAGTCATCCCAATCTCTTGTCAGCCTGCCACAGACACTCTCCTTTCCTCTGAAATCTCACACGGTTTCATGATCGGCCCCTTCACCTCCTCACCTTTTTCCTCCTGGCACATTAATCCAATTGGTATAGCTGTGCACAAATATTCTAATAAAAAACTTCTGATTATCAATTTATCAGCACCGCACACCTCTTTTGTTCCCAGCATTAACTCACTCATACCCGCAGAAGAATTTTCATTACAGTACGTTAAAATTGACGATGCAATACAATCCATCATTTCAACTAGTAGAAACGGCCAAGCAAAACGGACATAACAAACGCATTCAAATTACTACCCATGCACCAATCACTCTGGCATCTGCACGGTGTTAAATGGCGAGACAGATACTATTTTTCCACACGGCTCACTTTCGGGTCTAGAAGCAGCCCCAAACTGTTGGATATATTTGCAGAAACATGTCGGCTGCCTCTAAACGTTCTCAGGTGTCACTCAGTCATTCACTACTTGGACGACTTCCTACTGATAGAACCAGGCGCACGTACACCCACTAATATCCTCAGCACTTTTTTACACACTCGGGGTACCTTTATCACCCTCCAAAGCCATCGGCCCCACTAATAAACTAACCTTCTTGGGGATCAAGCTGGACTCTGGTACCTTCCGAGCCAGCCTTCCCCCCGACAAATTGGTCCGCTTGAGAGGGGAGTTAGACATGTTCCCGCAGAGTGATGCATGCTCATCATTCGTATCCAGGCTTCTCTGTCTGCTTCATGGGGTACTGGACTCCTGTCCAATTTCATTGGACCAGCACGCCAAGACTGACCTACTCATGTGGGGAATGTTTTTGGCTGAGTGGAACGGTATTTCCATGTTTATCCCCCCTCTCTCCAACTTCTCACCCATCATTCACACAGACGCTGCAGCCAACACGGTTTTCGCAGCTATCTTTGGTAATCACTGGTTCAGGGGTCACTGGCCTGCTGAGACAGATGCCTTGCCAGGATTCAGGGAGACTTCAGCCCTATTTGAAATTTACCCCATAGTGGCGGCCGCACACACCTGGGGTCACCTCTGGTCCGGCAAGGCAGTAAAATGCTAATCTGACAACTTGGCAGCTTGCGATATCATAAACAAGGGGCGCTCATCCTCCCTTACCATCATGCGGCTGATTCGCAAGCTGACCTGGCTGGCAGCAACCATCCAGTTCCACTTAGTCTGTTTTCACATCCCGGGTATCCACAATATGGCCGCTGTCTCACTCTCAATTCCAGGTATTCTTCCAGGCACTCACTACAGCCCACCGTCAGCCATCCAAGACACTGTGGTTTCACGAACTAATCCTGTACTGAACGCACTAATGCACCACGCTAGGACTCTCACACACCAAGCACTATCATCTAACACAGCGGTCACCTACAGTAGGGCACTTACCATTTTTAATAAATTCACAGCAGATTTCGGATTACAAGGTGATTTTTCTACTCAAACTATGGTGGCTTTTGCCTCCTTCTGCCACTTACATTTAAAATTTTCTCACAATACCATTAAACTAGACCTCACGGGGGTTCAGCACCACAGTCTCACTAATTTCCCTAACAACACCCCCTTCTTGTCATCATAACCCATCAAGAAAGTCTTAAAGAGTATCTCAAAGGTTTCTGTTCCACTTACCACCACCAGACTACCAATAGATGGGCCTATCTTTAGATTACTCAGCAATCTACTCAATGAATCCCCATTCGATCCCAACACAAACCTGGTGATCAAGTCTGCTATTTATCTAGCTTTTTATGGTTTCCTCAGACCCAGAGAATTCACCGTTGTTTGTCAAGGGGATATCACACACAGTCTCAAAACCTCACTAAGGTGGAGGATCACTATATACTTACACGCCCATCTACCAAAACTAATCACTCACTACCCACTATTATTCCCCTCTTTCCCACTGATAATGCTTGGTGTCCAGTTAAGGCACTAGACCACCTACGGTCAACTCATCACATGCACTTACCAGACTCTCCGCTCTTACTATTACACTCACCACTGCTAAATTCACGACGCACGTCAGATCCTTACTGAAAGTGGGTTACAACCCGGATTCATTCTCTGGTCACTCCTTCCGCATAGGAGCCGCTTCATCAGCCTCTAGTACAAACACCCCGGTTCACATCATCAAGAGACTGGGTCAATGGAAATCCTCCATATACCATACGTACATACCACCAGACCAGAAAGAGAGCTTCGCCAAGCCTTCAGGAATTTGGTTATGTAAAATGCAATAAAGTGTGTTTTTCCTTAAACTTCTCTTTAGCCCTCTTTTATTTACAGGCCAACTCGTACGTTGGTTTCACCACACCACAATCAACTTTCATCTCAGACACTATCCATTACGTATTAAATTCCGAGCACAAGTAGAAAGGCCATTAGGCCTGAATTTGTGGGAGGAGTAAGTCCCCTACTTAAACTCCCAGCCCCTACTCACCTCTGCCGTTCAAGTTGATTGTCCCCACCCACCTTCACCCTTATAGCATTACAATTCTCCTTGGTGGGCCCTCTTTTATTTACAGGCTCACTCGTACGTTGGTTTCGGCACACCACAACCAACTTTCATCTCAGACACTATCTATTACATATTAAATTCCGAGCACAAATATATATATATATATATATATATATATAAAAATCACAATAGTTTCTGGCACTCATCCCATAACAAAAGCATTAATTCAGCAATGACCAGGTGCCTCTCCGTGCAAAATATACAAATGGAACAAATTGAGAGCACTCATTGGATTTATTAAACAAAAAAATATATTAAATCAAACGCATATAAATCAACGTTTCGACCGTCTAGCGGTCTTTATCAAGATCAAGACCGCTAGATGGTCGAAACGTTGATTTATATGCGTTTGATTTAATATATTTTTTTGTTTACTAAATCCAATGAGTGCTCTCAATTTGTTCCATTTGTATATATATATTTATATATATATATATATATGATCAAAGTACTTTTACATGCACATAAGCACACATACACCATTATTAAAAGTGTATTTTAATATTAATTATATAAATAAAAAGTCACGACTCAGGCACCCACCATTGACGATAAAGATTT